TATTTTGTATCCAAATTCTAGGCCTTATTTGTATACAGAACAACAGTTCCTTTGCTCTTACCATAGTCAACCTAAGCAGCATTTAGTTCTTCCCTCACTTACTAATAATTTTCTCAAATTCCACACACTTGGAATTCAGACAACATAACATAAAATCCACGTAAATAATCCAACCAATGCAAATAACCAATGGAGTTAATTCAGCAAAATTATAATCTCCCATTTTATAATCACCACAAAAATAACTTCAGCAAGGATCCCATTACCAATAAGGGACATTAGTATTTCCTACAAGAACCTCAATCTCATCTAAATGAAAGAAACCCATTTTCAAACCTTGAAATTTGGTTTTGATAGCAACTCCCTTTGCTAAAAAAAAAAAAAAAAAAAAAAAAAAAAAAAAATAGCAATCCAAATGGCATGTGTTAAATTGCTCTGAACTCATATTCCTTCTTCTGTCTAGATAAATCTAAACACAAGAAGAGGATGTGGAGCTGTTTTTAAGATAGAGTTGACCAGCTTTTAAAACTCGATCATTCATTGTGAGTTTAATGAAAAAAGGAAAGGCCACAAAATCACAATCAATCACTCAAAAATGCCAACCATTTTAAAGGTCCACTGCCCTTTAAAACCTGTACTCTCCTCCTCCTCCATCTCACTTTAAAAAAGCAACAACAAAACAATCATTAATTGCTGGAAGAAAAGTACCCAAAAGCAAAATACGTGTGGCTCTTTCTATCAAGGCATCTCTTTTCTCTTTCCTTATGTAACATCACAATTATTGTTATCACCATCATTATCGCTATTCTCATGGTCAAACTGCTTCTAAGAGTGTGTATTAAAGCCCAAAAAGGTGTCTGGTCTTTACCCTCAGCTCCTCGGAGGCAAGCGCTAAGCCCTTGGAATGTTCTGCCTGATGAGAGTGTCTTTGTTCACCTGGGGCCTTGGGACATGAAAGACAGTCTAACAATGTGACTTAGGGTGGGGGCTTTGGGTCACATTGGGTACCAGCTCAATGTCCAGAGGAGCTGGTAACTTGAGGTCACTGTGGGCAGTCAACCATGACTATGTGACCAAGTCCCAATAAAAAATATTTGGCTCTGATGAGCTTCCCTGGATGGCAATACTCTCCACACTGCCACACATTGTAGCTGAGAGTCAACACTGTCTGTGACTCCCGTGGGAGAAGACAGCTGGAGGCTCTGCATTTGGAACTTCCCTGGACTCTGTCCCAAGCATCTCTTTCCTTGGCTGACTTTCATCTGTAGCCTTAGACTGTGATGAGCCATAACTGTGAGCATGACAACTTTCAGTGAGTTTGGTGGGTCCTTCTAGCAAAATAGCAAACATGAGTATGGTCTTGCACTTGCCATTGGTGTCAGAAGCGAGAATGGTGTTGTAGATGGTTCCCTAACTTGGCAGAGGATGTGGGATAAAGACCAGGAAGTAAATGCAAAGCTTTGCTCCATGACTCTGTGTCTTTGGCAAGCTCACCTACTAGTACTGTTTCTGGCTTGATTTTCCTCAATGAAGATCATCTTAATCAGGTTTATAAATAAATATTCCAGAGTGGAGCTTGTGCTCACCCAGTAAGAATTCAGAGAAAGGAGGTGAGAAGTAGATAGAGTACAGGATGTCAACTCAAATGTGGATCCAAATGCCAGCTCCAGCATGGCCTGGTGTATTGTAAGTGTGTGACCAACTGATGTACTGGGACCAATTTTTTTTTTTTTTTTTTTTTTGCTACTAGGTAAGGTTACTCATGTTTCTGGTTAATAAGTACCACTCCTTTATTACTTACCTGCCTAATTACAGTAAAACATAAGGCTTTTATGGCCGATGGCTACAACCACTAGAATGTCCTTTTCATCTGATCACAGGGTCTTTCTTTGGAAGCTCCCAGTTCTCTCACTATTCAGAAACATTGTTCTGAAGGTGGCAGCTTTCAAAGGTTGTATTTCCACTTAATCTAGTATTTAAGCTCTATTCCTCACTCAGCCTCAAACTGCAGTCTTTTTTTTTTTTTTTTTTTGAGGAAACCCCATGAGAAGCCACATGGAAAGGTTCCCCTGAGTATAGACACTCACACCCGTCCAAGTGGAGAGAATGCCCCCTTCCTCAGTTTCTCTAGCAAGGACAGATTCCCATTAAATCATATTCTAGTAAGCAATTTGGTTCCTAACTTAGAGAACCATGGGATAAGCTGATACCCTGGAATTTTTGTCCTGTTATTAATTCTTTAATATTCTTTCAGCATTTAAATTCTCCCCACAGTGCACTGTGGCCTTATAAAAGATTGTTTTTAAAATGAACATACAGATCCACTGCTTTATCTGAGTCCCTGGATTAGCTATATACACATAGATGTTGGAAAAACATTTGTTGAGGAGATGAATAAAGAAAATATGGCAAAATGCCAAGCCACATCTCCTCCGATCACCCACATAACCTCTCTGTGTTGTAAATATCCAGTTTATAGTTTCTCTCCCCTGCAGTCGGCTCAGTGAACAGGGACTGAGCATATTCCATAAACTCAAGAATATTTCAAACAACAGGTTAAAATGCTACATAGGTAAGAATGATGTGATCAGAATGAGTTGACAATGGCCACCACCAAGGCGGGTCAGAAAAGCTGGGGATTCTGCCTTCCTGCTGCCTACACAGAAAGGGCTGAACATAAAATGGATCAAGACAGTCTCTTCAACAAATGGTGTTGGGAAAATTGGACAGATACATAAAAAGAAGAAAGATACTAGACCACCAACTTACACCATACACAAAAATTAACTCAAAATGGATACAGGACTTAAACCTAACATGGGAACCATAAAAATACTAGAGGAATCCACAGGCAGAGAAATCTCAGACATATGCCAAAGCAATTTCTTCGCTGATCCCGTTCCTAGGGCAATAGAAGCTAAAGAGAAAATAAACAAATGGACTACATCAAAATAAAAAGCTTTTGTACAGCAAAAGAAACCATCAACAAAACAACAAGAAAGCTCACCGTAGGGGAGCACATATTTAATCAATCAGAAAGGATATATGCACCCCTATGTTCATAGCAGCACAATTCACCATAGCTAAGTGTCCATCAGCAGATGAGTGGATTAAAATTCTCCCCATAGTGCACTGGGGGGCCTGCTCCCCAAAGCAGGCCTGCTCCCGGAAGGCACTGGTCTACTTCTATTTACAACCACAGCCAGACACTCCTTTCCAGCACCTCATGCGGCCGTGACATTTCCATGACCCGGCAGGTTACTGAGGCCCAGAGATGCTTCTACCACTTACTCTTAGACTTAGTCATCTGCAAAAACCCCTGACCATATTCAGTTACAAGCTCTGATTGCCCAAGCAATAGGAAATACCACAATCTTCGTTTTATGGAAATGAAACAGAAGACAAATTTGATGCAAAAAAAAAAAAAAAGACAAATCTGTTGTTTATCCAACAACCGCACAGCCACCTTCAGCTAAAAGACGAGATATTTAAAAACCCTTTGATTGGACTAGCAACCACCTTAACAGATGCTAAGACAGGTGCCCTCAAGCCCATATTAAATGTATTTTCTGTCTATACCCCAATACAATAGGGGTGCTCCTATGTGATCTTAAGATATGAAAATCATGCAAAGTTAGAGTGAGAAATAGAAAAGCAAGCTCCTCCTAGTACCCCCACCCCTGATTGCTACAACGTCCACTACGCTGTTAACTACGGATCCTCCAAATCCAAGTAAAACCAAACAAAAATACTCCTTTTCTTTTTGCATTACATAAAGACAACCGTTTTCTACATTTCAATCAGCTCTATTTTAATGCCTCTCCAGAAAAAAAAAAAAAAAAAATGAATGTTCAAATCTGGGGCGGTGACAAATTGATTTAATAACACACTGCTATTTTTTTTTCTTTAGAAGCCTAATCTTATATATGACTTTTGAAATTATGACTATGTATTATATTGATTAAAAAATATTTTTAGCCCGGTTTGGCTCAGTGGATAGAGCATTGGCCTGTGGACTCAAGGGTCCCAGATTAGATTCCAGTCAAGAGCATGTACCTTGGTTGCGGGCACATCCCCAGGGGGGGTGTGCAGGAGGCAACTGATCGGTATTTTTCTCATCGATATTTCTAACTCTCTCTCCCTCTCCCTTCCTCTCTGTAAAAAAAAATCAATAAAATATATATATATTTTAATATTTTTAATAACTAAAGTTAAAAATCTCTGTGACTGCAAGATAAAATCAATATAAAGAAGAACTGGAAATTATAAGAATAATCATAAAACATGCCAACCAAATGATCATAAAACACCCCAGTCATTTAAATCTTACACATTCTTATAAAAGCATGCTTTCCCCTCACTTTGTAATTACGTCACTTCAAAAAGCAGAAATCCTACCATCAAATGGACTCAAAGCATCTGATAAATCTTCCTATTTCTCTGATTTAGCACAGAGATACAGTGAAAGTACTTCTTTTACCAATATTTTCTTAAGTGATCAAACCCCCAATTCCTACATTGTTCTTTTGGTCTTTTGTGTATACATTAAATGATTTGGTCTAACCAAACTAATACCCATAAGTACAGTAGTACTTATACACTTGGTAAGTATCCAAACAAGTTATAAAATTGCTCCTTCCAAGAAAGGCAGCTGTTCAATTTTTAACGACAGGATTAGCTGTAAGCTTTTTAAGAATACACACCTAGACACCAATAGAATGTATTCTCCAGTTACAACCTAAAACCCCTACTAAAATGATTCCAAACCTCTCACAATTACACTTGAAGTTTGGCTTTTATATAAAAGCAAGCAACACATGAAAATCAATTCATTTTAAGTCTTCTTTAGGCATATTCAGGCTTACAAGTAATTATGGGAAATAATTGCTACTTAGTATATACTTATCAAACCCACTTATTGTGGTTGGCTTTAAAAATAGACAAATTGATTTAATAAAAACCAATTTAAACATAGCATTTAGGAAACATGATTTGTTTACCTCTGTTGGTTTGTAGCAGTCTATGAGAGCTTCCTAGAATGAAATACACAAAAGGTTAGTTTTATTATTTTAAAAATCAGTATTTTAAAGGTGAAATTAAAAATCATTTCTTCTTTATAGTATTATTCTAAACATGGAGAATCAACATTTCATATTGACTATCTAGAATCACACTATTTCAATGCCCACTGACCACCTACAGATATAAAGAGCTGTGCGGGGCCGGTGTGGTTCAGTTGAGCTTTGACCCAGGAACAAGAGGTCACGCGTTTGATTCTTGGTCAGAACACAAGCCAGGATTGCAGGCTCGATCCCCAGTAGGGGGCGTGCAGGAGGCAGCCAATCAATAATGTTTCTCTCTCATCGATGGTTCTATATCTCCCTTCCTCTCTCTAAAAATCAATATAAACATATATTTTTTAAATATTAAAGAGTTGTACCTTCATATGCAGGAATGCCTTACATTTTCCAGAATACATGCACACACAGGTATATACACACATGTTTCGTCTGGGCTGCCAACTTGGATAACAATAAACAGGGTAAACTTAAATTGAGACAGCCTGTGAAAGGCGGTGACAGTCTCACTGGATAATCGCACTGGAGAGTCAGGGGCCTGGCTGTGATTTGGCCACAAACCAGCTTGTCAAGGCTCTGCAGGCTTCAGTGCCCTCACCTGGGAGCCAAAGTTCAAGTTCTCAGTGTTAAGAGAACCTGATGCCATTCCATGCTGTATAAATCTGATGCCTGCTTCACTTTTTTTTTAACTTGCATCTCCCGCTTAACTTTACCAACAAGAAACAATCATTAAACGGAGGCTGTTCACCACTCAAGGGATGTTAGTAATGATTAACACATTATTATATTAAAATGTGCCCTTTAGTTGCCTTTAGCAGTCCTTTGCCACTGGTAATAACTGCCATTAACAGTAATTATCTGTGTACATTAAAAACATGGGCAAGTCAAAAGTTGACTGATTTTAGAAACTCCCAAATACAGGTATTTACGTGATGGATTTGACCTCCTCTGGGGAGGGAAATAAATATTGTATTACTGTGGACCAAGGAAACATGAGACATCTCAGCATGTACCAGGATGCTATCCAGTGAGCATAGTCTAATAAAAGAAACTTTATTAAACGGAATTATGTTGTACATAATCTTACACAGAAATGAATGTCATGAATGACAAAATCCACAACTGCAAGACCGGAGTCCTGGGTTTAGGCACCCAGGTCTAGCTCAGCCCCTTTCATACAGTTGTGGAGCATCTCTTCCTTCTCTGGCGAATGGGTCTCAGGAGGCAGAGCCAGCTCTCCCTCCTAAGAAAAGGAGGCTGGCAAAACTCACATCATAGGTGCTTCAAGAACTGACTGTTGTCAAGAACTGCTTTACCATCAGAGAATCAGAGATGAGCTTCATGAGGGTGATTACCTAGCATCCCACCGCTTTCCCCTCTGCAAGCTCAGGAACCCAAGCAGTGACGACTGGAAGGTTCTAGAGTTTGAAAGCTGCTTACCCGTAACTTTAAAGCTCGCTCTTCTTCACTGTCCGCATCAAGAAGATCATCAATGTCAATCTCTACATCTGGCATTTCTTCTTCCTGGAGGACAAATGGGAAGGCATTCCATTTAGTGAGAAACTACACCGTGCTAAACCAACTTAGTTGAGTTAAATAAATGACTAGTTCACCAGTTGAAATAAAGGGGGAAGAAGAGTCTAAGAGGAAGAGGAGGGAAAGGAGAGGAAGGACAGGGAAATGGGAGAGAGAAAAATGGGGGAAGGGGAAAAAAGAAAAAAGAGGGAGAAAAAAAGAGGGAGGGAGGAGGGGGTGGAGGAGGGGGAACAAAGGAAGGTTAAGGGTCACAAAGCAGTGAAAGGTAAATTTTCAAAAATGACTTTCTGCTCTCAGGCCAAAGACTGCAATGATAAGTACACAATAAGGATTGGTAAATTATAGAAAGAGTAGTGAGAGTTGTGGTTTCCTAGACAACGACTACCCTTCTCTCAGTGACTACCGACCGGATCTTTGATTCTTTCTCGGGGGTTGAATAACTTTTATGATTCTGGGCCTGAGGCAAACCTGATTTTATTACAGGTTTCTGAGGCGGGGCACTTGGATGAGCCTCGCCTGAGCCCAGCCCCAGTTATGACTCAAGAGAGGACGGGGGACTCTGGGACTAGAAGCTCTTCCAACGGACGCATCCCTCCGCTCTCCCTCCCATCTGACGGAGGGCGGGGAAGCTCTGCGCCTGATCATTGGAACCCAGCATCCTCATGGAACTGGGAAGGAGTGGGACTGACCCCACAAGGGGTGGGGTCAGAGAAACAGGGAAAGGGGCCTCTGGAGTCAAACCCCCTCTAAAACCTTCACAAGTAAATCCCGGCTATCATTTCAGCCAGAAGGACCGGAGTTTAACATTCCCCAAACTCAAGACATCCAATCCGGAGAGGAGGGCAAGAAAGTCCCGCTGGAATGTGTGAAAAACCTCACTGATTTGGAACCTGTACTTCCAATCCAAATATAATAGCTCTCTGCTGCCTCTCATTTCCTCTGTTACCTGCTCTTCCCCCATCCCTCTGAGAATGCTGACGTCAAAGCACATCTGAGAAACGCTGTCATTTTGCATTGCACCTTCCCATTAGGAGAATACCTGGCACTCAAACCCCCCACCCACAAGGATGGGCGAGAAGAGACTAAGAAACCCATGGGGGACACCTGTCATCCCCTCAATGACAACACCACTGGCAGCCCCCGGACTCGGAGTGCTGCTGGGAAGGCTCAGTGAGCACAGATCAGCCTGGGCCTCCCTGCCCCAGCCTACCTCAGTCTATTTCCCCTCCCCTCCCCAAGTCAGTCATTGGGTGCAGCACTTATATTTGGTTGGAGCAGCAGGTTATATTTATGTGACGGTTCATGAAATCAAGCAGGACCTGCTCCAGGAATCACAGGTACAGGGGCCTCTGTGTCTGCTTTTCTTAAAGAAAATAAGAAGTAAATAAAGCTTGCCTAGAACAGCCCAGAAGGGTTTTCCTGCAGCTGTTTTTCAGCTTTGATGACTCGCCTAATTTGGTCAAAAGGGCTTTTACTTGTGTCGCAAGATCAAGGCCGCACAGGTAGGAGGCCCCGGCAATTAGGTGTCCTCCACCCAGCTTTGCCTCAGGCCCCACATGACCCATTTACCCCAGTCCTTCGTGTTTTGTGTGTTTTTCCTTCTCTGTTGAGTAAGGTATTACATATGTGTCCTTATCCTGCCATTGCCCCCCCACTCACCCCCCACTCATGCCCTCACCCCCCTGGTGTCTGTGTCCATTGGTTAGGCTTATATGCACGCATACAAGTCCTTTGATTGATCTCTCCCCCTTCTCCTCACCCTCCCCTACCTTCCCTCTGAGGTTTGATGGTCTGATCCATACTTCTCTGTGGTGTTTAAATTTAAATTCACTGAAATGAAATCGACAGAGAATTCAGTTCTCAGTCACATGAGCCACATTTCAGTGCTCAATTACCACCTGTGGTGAGTGACTACTGCCCTGGACGGCCCCCATAGAGGCTCTCATTCCTCTGGACAGCGCTGCCCTGGAGCCCACCCACCCTGGACTAGAGATGGGAAGCAAAGCTCCCTCCCTGTTCAGAGATCCTCAACAGGAGTAAAGAAAATGCATCACAAGGCCACCGCCATTACCCAAGGCAGGTGGCTGGGAAACCCTGGGCGTGGCTATCTCGGTGGGAAAGCTGATGCAAACTAGTCCCTGAGTCCTTACAATAATGCTACCAACCTATGCAGCTACCCACCCTCATCCACGAGAAGGTAGGAGGAGCCTGAACCCCGGGGGGTTCCCACCGTCCATGATGCCAAACCAAGGCCTGGATGAGAAGGACATGGAGGCACAGGCCACAGAGGCACATGTGGGTGAGGTCTTGGAAGCAAAGGCTGATCTAGTATCGGGTAGAGAACCCTGTGTCTATTGGCATTTGATATTTTTAATGAGGAGTGTGGAAACAGTCTATATTCGACTGAAGTTTTCTGTGCCTCTGCCTTCTGTATAAAGCGGTATCACTGAGTGTAACCGTAGTGACAAATCAGGTAACCTCTAAACGAGTGACATGCCATCCTCATGGCCACTCGGGCGTAACAGAGTTCGTTTGGGTGTGGGGATTTCCCCACATTAAAAACAGATCAAACGATCTCTTCAGAGTTGCTGTGGTAAATCACTAGTCACAGGCCCTCCTGTGGGGACCCACAGAACAAGGCACCATCAGCCACAGGCCCTCCTGTGGGGACCCACGGAACACAGCACCTGATTATTTGGTGCATCTTTCCTGCCGGGAAGCCACTGTGTACGAGGCACCATGTGTCCGACGCTGTGAGGGTCTGCCTTAGAGGGGCATGCCTTCTAAGCTCAGGACAAAACAATGTACAAGGGCACCAAAAGAGAGAGACCGCCCCAGTGCCCTGGCAATGAAGGAGAGGGACACTTCCACTGGGCCCGGCCGGGCCGGGAGGTGTCCCAGAGGAGAGAGCATGTCAGCCGGCTGTGGGACAGCAGGATTTGGACAGGTTTAGAGGGGGAGGGGGAGCACCCACGAGAGGCAAAATGGTACAGAGGAGGCAAGAATACAGGAGTGTTCTAACTACAGAGTGCAGAGAGGCCCCTGTTCTTGAGTCAGCTAGCAGATATTAAAAGAGGCTACACAGGAAACAGAGCTGAGAGCTGAGGCAGATAGGGGCTCTATAAGGAGCCGTGGGGAGTGTGGCAAACTGTTGAAAATGAGTCCCAAGAAAAGACAGCAGAACGAACACACCATTCCTGCCTCTCGCAACCTTTTTGCAATGTGCTCAATATTGTTTGTCTCTCACAATATTGCAAAATGTTGTGAGAGACAAACAAAATCCTTCAGCCTGTCAGTTTCCCCTCATCCTGTAAGACCAGAGCCACTGAGGGCTCCAGGGAGGGAAACTCGGGGAGGGCAGCCGGCCAGCTGCGGGGCCAGGCGAAGGGAGGACGGAGCAGGCTGCCGAGAGGCACTTCGCTCCTCAGGGCTTGGAGGCGAGAACAAACATTTCAGACACTGGTAAAACTCAGTGCTTGAAGGCAAGAACAAACATTCCAAACACAGGTAAACCACAGGGCTTGAACTGCGGTGAGTTGTGGTGAGAAGATTTCAAACAAACACTGACAAGCAGGGAGGGCAAACCAGGTGAAATCTGGAGAGGACTTGGATGGTGGACGAGGGAGAAGGACAAAGCAGAGGAGATCAGGTTTGGAGCTGAGAGGTTTTGGAGGAAGACGCCATAAGAAGACCACACTGGGGCCTTGAGGGACATTTCACAAACCAACAAGCAGTTTCGTGTTAAGCCATTTCCAGCGCCATGATCGATGAACAAAGTGCCTCTCGGCAGCCCCCTCCCCACCTCCCTTCGCCCAGGCCTGCCGGGGGCCAGCCGCCCTCCTAAGCACACCCAGGGCACGCTGCCATGCTGAGTGACAGCGGCACAGCCCTGCCACCAGGCCTGCCACAGCCAGGAGCTCCCACTGGCTCAGGCTCCAGGCTGCAGCAATGCTCCTGAGGCAGGTCCCCGAAACAGCCAGCCTGGGTCACAGCACACGCCACACGCCACACACACACTCACGTGCACATGCACTCACATGCATACATTCATGTGCACATGCCACACACATGCACACAGCACACACATTTACATACACATATCACACATTCACATGTATACATCACACGCATCACACGCATAATCTTATATACACATGTTTGCATGCGTGTGTTCACATGCACATGTATTAACATGTATACCACATGCGTTCACATGTACACACCGCATACATATACACACATGTGCACACCACACAGATTCACGTGCACATACTACATACATTCATTCACATGCACACACCACACATGCACTCAACGCACACCACATGCACACACACTTCTCACTAGCCAGAAATTTTACACCATGAAGCCTGTCAAGTGGGGCGTCAGCTTTTAAAAAACGCACATGCTCACCTCTTTCCACAGGGAAGGGGGCAGGACTGCTCAGGCTAAAGCAGCTTGAAAATGGATTATGGTTTTCAAGCTCCATGACAACCAGCTTAACAGCTCGCCGAAGGTGGCAGCGGCTCACAGCACAGTCTCCACCTCGGAATGGGGTGTGAAGTGCCCAGGGGTGGCAGCGCTGCGAACACGTCCACCAAGGGAACCGGGCAGCAGGCCGGGGGCAGAGACAGCCCGTTATTACAGCCACCACCCTGAGCGCCCCTTGCCTGGGCCTGCAGGGGACACCCACACAGAAGGCCAGAGAGCAGGGGCAGTCTGCAGCCTGGGGCTGTGAGTGCCTGTGAAAATATTTACACATCATGGTCTGACTCCCAATTACAATCCACACCACGTTCCGTAAGGAGGCCCATTTATTCTAAGAATTGTCTGGCCGGCCACTAGCCACATTGGCTCTGTGTGTACTCATTGGCATCGAGCGGAACTATGTTGTCATGGGCGACTAAGAACAGGGCCAAAGGGCAGATTGAATACTTAAATGACTTATTTACACCGAGCGGAGCCAGCGGTGTGGCTCCCAGCTCTCG